TTGTCTAGGTTAAGGAAGATATCCAAGCTCCATATCCATGTTTGAACCTCAATCCTTTCTAGAGCATATGATTTAGTTAGAAAACAAGACAACACAAACACCTACCTTAATAAACATCACTCAAAAACCTTAGCGCCCTACACAAACAAAGCACTACCCACTTTCACTAAGTTTACCCCAATTGCCGTAACCTCATACACTCTATTAACCCCTACGTCAAGCAACAACATCGAGCCATAACCTAAAACCTTATACACATAACCAAAATCCTAAGTCCTACCAACCCAAAACCCTAACTAGTAAAGAGTTTGATGATAAAAGTGCTAAGAATCAATGTTTTTGGTGTGATGATACCTATGAACCGGGACATTGATGGAAATAGAAAAGAATTTATTCCATCCAAATAGCTAATGATGAGGATGCGGAAGAGTTAGGTAAAGAGGAGGAATAACTAGTTGATGAAGAAATCTATGAGGATTTTCTCCCTCATATTTATGTTAATGCCTTAGAAGACTATAGTAGGTTTAAAGCCCTATGAATGATAGGCTACATGAACAACAACACCCTACACTTCTAGTGTATTCAAGTTCCACCCATAACTTCTTAAACCTAGCTACAGCCTACAAGATTAAGTCGTAGACTATCACCTATCATGAGGTCTCTAACTATGGTGGTTGCTAATAGGAGTATTATTTTTTGCATAGTAGTTTGCAAAGCATTTTAGTATGGCATGCAAGGAATCAATTTATTATAGATGTGATAGTGGTGGATCTTTCAAATTATGATATGGTGCGAGAGGTTCAATAGCTATTACAACTTGGAGATATTGTAACTAACTATCAAGAGATGTGGATAAAGTTTCAATGAAAGGGGAAAGAAATCAATCTAGCATGTCATCTTAATACTAAACTACAAACCATCTCTAGTTCACGGACGTAGTGGTTACTAGAGCATCCTACTCAAGTGGTACGGACATAGCTCTACAATATGACGCCACTTGAACTTATGCAACAAACGGAAGGTAAGAGAGCTACAATTTTTATCTTTCAGCCACAACAAACTCATCCTTCCATTACAGCCTCTCCTAGTTGAGTTTCAATATGTTTTTTAGAGCCAAAAACACTATCGGCAGTTAGATCACATGACCATAGAATCCCTCTCTAAGAAGGGGCCCAACCTATAAGCAAAAGACCCTACATATATTTAGGGTTATAGAAAGATGTCATAGAGCAATTAGTATAGGAAATGCTTATCACAAGAATTATCTAGGATAGTGTTAGTTCTTTTGCTTCTCTAGTAGTCCCGGTCAAAAAAAGGGAAGGGTGTTAGAGGCTATGCATGAATTATAGAGCCGTAAATAACATCACTATCAAAGATAAGTTTCTCATTCATTTAATTGATGACAAGTTTCTCATTCCTTTAATTGATGAACTACTTGAAGAATTACATAGGACTACCGTATATTTTAAAATTGATTTAAAATCTAGTTAACATCAAATTCAAATGTCTCATTCTACCGTGTCTAAAATAACTTTCGAAACCCACAATGGTCACTATGAATTCTTGGTTATGCCTTTTAGTCTTACTAATGCCCTAACTAATTTTCAAAGTCTAATGAATGATATTTTTAGGGCTCACGTGAGGAAGTTTGTGTTAATATTTTTTGACGACATCATGATTTAAAGCAACACACTAGAGCACAAAGTCTTTAATCTACTGCTTAAGATGCTACACTGAGAGAAGATATCTCATTCAATTAAGCACAATAAATAAATATTCTTTCCTCTGTTGTTGAAAATAGAAAAATTAAGACCTCAAACTCTAGCAAAAACTTAATGAACTAGGCCTAGTATTCAAGGAGAGCATGCATCAAAATAAATAAAGCGGCTACTTATGCCTTATCATGATAATCTTGTACTTGCTCTCTAGTGAATCATCTGGATTAAAATCGCTTCCAGGGAACTACATGGTGCAGTTATTTCAAAATGCCTGTATTCATTAATTGGTGATCTTCTCAGTTAATGATCCTGTCAATAGCATAGAAACAGATCTTCTCATTTCCTTAGTGAAGTCCAGTTTTCTGGTTGTTCCCGTCATAACTCATTCATCTCACCATCCTCAAAATGAGAAACATGGACCAAAATGCTATCTCTGGCCTTTACTTAATCACAAAAGCCCATATTATGTCTTTTGTATTCGATGTTCTTTTATCATTTCTTTGTCCATTATCTCTAGCCCTTGCAAAAAGAAAAAACCCAACAAAATGCAGATACCAAAAAGAAACATGAATATTAAAAACATATACACACAGAGAAGAACCCATCTTTCTGTCTTATAAGATACTAAAAAAACTAATGCAAACGACAAAGGAAATTAAATGCAAGAAATATAGAGAGAAGTTCAAAGGGTAGTGCCATTTTGAATTTCTTAAGAGTTTCTGAGAGATCTTTGTCTTTGACGAACTTTCAGCACGCCCAAAACCTAAACTCTACTAAAATGGAGATATACAGAGTGAAAGACATACGTCAGTACTTTTAAACCCTATAAAATTTATTGGGTTTATTGACTATTGACCCTATAAAATTGATTTTATGACTCCAGAGTCTGTATTTGTGGCATCTAACTTATCGGACAACTGAGTTATCGACCAAAGGGCTTTAATAATTTCGTCAATGGGTTTGTGCATTATTATTTTTGGAGCTATGAAATTTTAAGCCAAAAACTTATAATAACATTAATATGTAGAGATAGCATTTTGATCTGACGCGATAGATATCCGTTTTGATCCGCTCGAAAAAAACCTGCCCTGATGGGAAGGAGAATAGAGAGGGTTTGCTTTTTTTGCCCCAACTTGTATCCAACCTGCACCCAAATGTTAGAGACTCATTCTTGACCAGCCTATACAATATTCGGTCTATTTCTATCTCTACTAAGAATGAACTTGATAAGTTGATCAGTCAATGAGGTTTAAGACTTATTAGAAAAACATATAATTGCTTATGTGTCAATATATTTAAATTTTAACTAGTAACATTTTGTTATATATTAGAAAATTAACACAGAAAATGATAAAAATAAAATTAAAACATTGATACCAAGTTAAAAACAAAAAAAAACAAAAAAATAATAATAATTTACTAAATATTTTGAATTACAATTTTTTAATATAGGTTTATTGTAAATTATTTTTACTTAAATCAATTGAAAGATAATATCATAAGCTTTTATGTAAGATGAATATTTAATATCTTTCGATAAGACCAAAAAAAAAAAAATCTATTTCTTAAACTAGATAGTCCACTTCAGGGTCCTTCAAGTTTTCATAAGTTTATGATAGCGTAGAAGTTGAACCCTTACTAATTTTTAATTAAGCCTTTTTCTTAATAAAATTATGAAATTAAGTGATACAATAGTATTTTTTTCAAAAATCGACAATGATTAAGAATTTAAATTCGATATGCATTGACAAAATAAATAAATTATACATTTTCTAAAATTTGTTTTACTTTTTTATTTTAGTTTTAGGATAAATTTTTTTCTAAATTCAATTTCAATAAATAAAAAAAAATGTAAACATCGATACAGTTGGCAAAAAAAAAATTGCTATAAAAATTATATGAAATTTGGGTTAAGCAATTTTAATGGGTATAAGATATGTTATTATTAAAACAAGTAGGAACAATCAAATAGACATAATTATAATAACTGCCACAACACTCAAATGGAATTATAATAATATAGTCAAATCATTAAATAATTGATTATACACGAATAATGGAACAATCAAAAAACTTTTCGCTCCCGCAACTTGGGGGCATCGAACTATTTTCACAAATAGTTGTGTAAGAGGTCCTATATGTAAATTTTTAAAATAAGAAAATAATTTTATTGATAATTGGATAAATTCCAATACCAATTGAGAGTTTTTTTCTTTTTTAATAATATTGACTTGTAGAAACATCACTCTGGACTATTTCTTATAAGAAATGTGGTAAATCCTCAACGAAGACTTGCATATTGTAAATTTGCTAGTTTATGAGCTGCTTTATTATTTGTTCAATCAATATAGTTGAAATAATTAATAGAATTAAAAGAACTTGCTAGGGCTTTGATATCTAGACAGTAGAAGATAAGTAGAAACCATCTTCCACGTCTTAACGCAAATTTTAGAGAATTCCAAATCTTTAACAAGTTGAAGAAAATAAATATCAGCAATAGCAAACTACACTTTCCATTTTTCACAAAGAAAGAGAGTTTAATTAGTTAATTATCTAGTCATGTGACGAGACAAATAAAGAAAAAGACAAAAAACAAATTATGGTTTAGTGACACTCGATTTTTTATAAGAATACCCAGATAGTTTCAATTTAGATAATAAAAATGATTTTCCTTGATTTCTTCCTTTCATTTGTTAAGAAATAATTCGAAAATATTTACCCTGATTATTTCTTTAACGCTACAAGAACTTCGAAATTAATCTAGCCTATTTGCTTACCACCTTTCCACATGACCATTTACTAGCTTAAGACCTTTATACACGACGATTTATTAATTGAAAAAAAAAAAAAAAGGTTAAAACTATTTTGATCTGTATGAAAAAATTTAGTAAAGAACCGGTTGAAATCAGACTCAAAAGGAGGTCTTTTTCTTGGATTTGGGAACGAAGTCGTTGATGCTTAAATTCTGCCTAGGGTCGGGATTAGGGAACTTAGAGATGGAGGATACCATCATCGTTGCAGTTGTGTATAGTTTAAAGCCCAAAGGTCCCTTGATGGAGAAAAAAAATACAAGATTAACATAATCAATCATTTAACCAAAACATAACTGCCCTTTATTTAGAGTACATTAGACAGGACCAAAAAAAAGAACAAAAGAGGGCCAACAACTTGTTTTTAGTTTAAGAAAAAAACCAATCATCATCCAAAGAGATAAAGTACCACAGCAAATGTATAGAAAAGATAAACAGAGAAGACTAATTACATAACATTAATCTTCCTATATTAATTATCAGTGGCCTCTGTCTCTAGAGCTGAAGTATCATCCTTTTTGCTGTCCTCATTTTCTTCAACAGTCTTGAAGCCAAAAGGAGCAATGTTTTCCTGATCTCTAACACTAACTTCAATGCTCCTTGTAATTCTAAGAACACTATTGATTTTTGGCCCGTCTCCTTTGCTCAACCCTCTCCCTTTTCGTGCTGCACATCTTCTGCTCCAATGCAACACAAAACGATCGTTAGCAATAGTTTACCCCAAGTTAAACTACTCATTTCTTTATAAACCTCAATTAAATAGGATATATGGAAAAAACTATTTTGTAATAATAAAAGAATCGATGATGAAAGGTTCAACTTTCGTCTATTATCCGTGCGGAAAATGCATGGAAAATAACAGGTTTAGCTAGCCAGTGTTCAATAGACTCTTATTGGAGAAAGTGTGCTCTTAATTAGACACTAATTAGTCAAACTCGAAATACTATTAATTTTCAATAAAAGTCGTTATTCTCTATACAACAGAATTAAATCATAGCAAGATCAACTTACATGGTCAAAGCCTTCTGATGGTAAGAATTGGAGCTAGGCAAAGGTAAATATAGCGTGGTCTTCGGCATGAAACCAGAACCTACAAGAGCCATGATCAGAGTTAAATGAAGAATTTCTCACTGATTTTCTCTACAGTTCTCTGAATTCAGTGGCTCCTCTGTGTGTCTCGACTGAGCTTTGATCCAAGATTTATATGCGATAGCTCCAACAGAAGGCTAGTCCAATTATTGTGCTACCCTGTATGAATGGTCAACGAAATTGTAAATAAAAATTATTTTTTTTAAAAAAAAAAAGGACAACTTACCTACTGCACCATATTTTAATTTTTCCACGAACTAGAATTTCAACACTTGCAATTTCACGTGGTTATTACTTTTAGTTGCTATTATTTTTAGTTGCCAGAAAGTTACGTTAATTGTTGATTTTTTAAACAAGCATGCGTAGCATGGTTCGAAATAAAATATAATTTTGTAACTTCCAATCAGAATGGGGACAAAAATTGGCATAATAAAATATTAGGATTACAAAAGAGTTTCCACCACTCGGTGATGCGCTTACCTTGACTCAAACAATACGCGTTCTTGTGCCAGGCTTTGCCTTCAAAATTTTTCCTTTCTTTTCAACTTAGCAGAATTTGACTCTACCAATAATTGAGGTCCTAATTAAGGTTTACCTATACAAATACAAGATGACTGGAAACTGCAAGAGGATCAAAAGACCTTAGCCCACGAGTGGTACTACCCCAAACAAGCAAGGTCGATCCAACCATCTTAAAAGATCGACTATAATAAACTCCACAAAAATTATAAGCAATTCGTGGTCCTTTTGCTCAAGTGCATTTCAATTGAAAAGAAATAAAATTGAATATGAACATATGATCAGGTCCATCAAATATGACCCCCATGTCAGAACCATTAAAAATACAAAAAACACCCAAAAAAAAAAAACCGTTAATTTGATGCCTTGTCAATCAAGAAGTTCTGCAAATGCATTGTCAAAAACACTCGATTATAGACCTATATAATGAATATGAATGCAAGTAGGCTACATAGACGATGACACAAGTTTACTTTTAATTCGACTTGTCATGTGCTAGAGAGAAGTAAAGCAGTGGAGAACGAAAGCATTGAGTGTGTCGTGACTCGTGAATGCAGTGACTAACATGCCTGTTGGCTGTTATTTGGAAACGCTGGCAGACCTTCAAAAAGAACTAAAAAGCCATTGCTCATGCTCATGGAGATGGTTAATATTGTTTCCCTCGTTTCTTTCTCAAAACCAAATGGAATAAACCTGCACCATGTCTTTTCAAATCGGAGAACTTCGATGTCCAGGGGATATATATATATATATATTAAAGATTAATAATGTACTGATAAATGTGGAATTTGAATTTAAGCCATAACGCTCTTGGTTTTCCAGTACCAATAGACTAGAAAACCATTGGTGGCAGTGGAATCTAATTTAAAAAAAAAAAAAAAAAAACAAGACAACAAAAAAAAACAAGACAAAAAAACAAAAACAAAACAAACCTAAAGCATGGTAAACATTCACAGTCCATTAAAATGGTAGTCCAGAAGTCCGGCTGATGTATTTTTAAGCACTGATCCTCATCATTAAAAAGAAAGTTTCAGAGTTTAGTCGTGATGACATGATGTTCCTATACAACAGGAAATGCAGAAGCCCGGCAGGCCTGTATTGCAATGACACAAAAGGCTTCCATATTAATTTTCCAAAAGAACAGATAAAGTTAGCCTCTAGAAGATATGACTTCTGTACCGCGTGATGCTGAACAAGAGCTGGATTTGCCTCACGCTTCTCACTTTCCCATGTGAGTTAATATTCTGCTGATCAGAGCTTCCTTCTTCCCTGCAACAGGAAGGTTGTGCACCGTCAAGTAATACTTTAGCTCCGATACTGTCAAGTCCTTCAACTGCAAAACATAGAGCCATGACAAAAGGGAGTGTTATCTTTTAATTTAGAACCTATAATCAATTTCCTTTTCCATTTGTGGCAGTAAGATATAAATAATTTCAATAAACTAAAAGCAACTAATTTCCACAAACACTTTATTCAGCTCTAGGAGTTGACATATCTGCACAACTTTGATTGAAAATGCTAAAAGTTCACTAGTATCTTTAGTTAAAAATTATTAAGAACATTCAAAGTGAAATGGAAGGAACATCGCTTCCAATATTTTCCAAAACCACTTGTTCTTTGACAAATACTTCTCAAAATAATAAAAAAGGAACCCATTCTTCTGGCACTTGTTAGTCTTGGTGGATGATTTATTGCGGTGCTAGGCAGGGTGAATAGAAGGACAGGCAATGATTTTTAAGCTCTCATATGATTCCCAATCATGCCTACCATTGTTTTAGAACCACACCTTAGCCCCCCAAAAGCTGGGGCACCAGGATTCCGAGTCCCCCATACAGAAAACCGAATTATTCTTGGTTGTAGGGAGACTTCTAAAATGTCTATTCAGGCCTATGAGAACATAAGAGTATCTCTACAAACCTAATTTGATTACATTTTTATATGGAATGGAATTTTCGCCAGGAAAACTTTTTCTGTAGGGATTTCTGTATATTGAACACATGAAGCATAAGAGTTTATTTTCAATCTGGAGAAATGGTAAAGAGAGGGCTTTATTTACTCAAATAGATTGTACATAATGTCTGTTAAGCCAACTTTCTGCACTTAATTAAAACTGACATCATCGTACTTGAAACACAAGAAAGCACACCTGTCCATTGTCAGCAAGATCAGGCCAGTTGTAGTTTGCAGACTCCTTAGCAGCATTTTCAGCAGCCGCTTTCCGTTTTTGGAGGCCTCGCTTGCTTTTCTACTGCCCACATCACTTTCCTCATCATAATTGTCTCCATAGACAGAGAGCTTGAACTCCTCAACTGCTTTAACAACTCCAGGTCTGTGGACCATAAATGGGAACATTTGTCAACTTGATGAAAGAGAATGAAAGAATGGTGGGTGCAGAAAAAAGATAGGAAGCTAAATTTTGACTTACCTAGCCATGCCTTCTTCATCAGGAAGTGTTTCATCATTGATTTCTGGCATGTCATCTTCATCCAGAGCTAGGGCTTGCAAAACTGCATAGTGTCTCTGCAAACCTGCAAGAAATTGTTTTGGAAATTGCTGAGGAGAATCCAGAAAAAAATTTGAGGGTCATTTTCTGGTATAGTACAACTGTGCTAGATTTCACATTGTAAGACAGCCAACTGTAGGGCTTGCTTAGACAGGGATCTTAAATCAAATCTTTTTTTAAAAAAAATTATTTTTATCAACAATAGCCATCATATCGTGCTATCCATAAATTCATACAAACATTTCCCTTGAACTTCTAAAGGATTCTATTTCCAAATCATATAATACCTTTTACATTATTCACAGAAGCTAGTTCAATAAATTTAATTTGATTTAAATTTGTTATTTTCAATAATAAAATAAAATTTTAACTTAAATAATATACATGAAGGTGCAGATGCCAAAATCACTAGTTAGACTAAAATATAATATAACAGTTTAGACAACAGCCATGTCAAGAGGTTTTCTAAATTCTACCCAACCATCTTAGCATTTATAAGCATTCTTTAGGGTACAGAGTATGAATAATCCAAACCAACTTACCAGGGTTAGCAAATTGGAATACAGAAAAATCTTTCAAGTCAATACGTTTTATCAAAGCAGCTGCCTTTTTAATTTGGTCATCAGTAGCTCGAGGTGCCCCAGCATTTGCACTTGAATGAATCTGCAGCAAGTTACCCACATTCTTGTTGCTAAGATTACTATACAATCCATTTCAAATCAACTTAAAATTGTACTTGCCTCTTCAACATGCCTGACATCATCAGAATAGGGAAGATATATCATGTGCATTCCAGGTGGCTCAACCTGACCACCAGCACTAATGATCTCATCCTGTGAAGTTTCAAAGATATCGATAAGCAACATTATATGACCACAGTAATTCTAAAATCAGACACAAATGACAGCAGTTATGTTCACTTCATAATTACTTCATGACAACAATTTGTATTGCATAAATCACATTATTTAAGACCTTGAACTCTGGTTCAACAGCATGGACTAAGCACCAGAAACTACTTCCTTGCATTAATCAACAAAAGCACAACAAGACATGGTATTCAATTCAAAAGATAGATTCAAAAAGATGAGAAGGAAAAAATACATAAAGGTATTGAAAGAGAGCAAAACTACAACGCATCAGATTCAATTGCAAAAGTAGGAGAGGCAAATGGCAAGATTGCATTCAATGACAGCATCAGGCTATTCAAATGCCTTAGTTTAATAGACCTCAGAGTGGGCCATCCAAGTTGAATATTATTGTATTCTTATAAGCAATAAATAAATAAAAAACAATAAACTGACAAGCAAAATGATAAATCCATTAGACAAGGATTGGGAATCTAATCTACTCTCTTCAAACCAAACAGTTTGAATTACAAGTTTATTTGATTTACTCTTTACATCTGAGTAGAATTTAGTTGCACGGTCTCCCACTCTTTTAATGGAATAAGGTAGAAATTCAAAAGAAGGGAAAGACAAAAAAATTATAATAATGAAAATAATAAAAGGATGAATAGTTGGCATATTGATGCTAATATCAGACTTGTTCGCCAATTATTTTGTGCATGCAACACTATATGGGCTTATTTAAAGATGAAGTATTTTACTTGTGCAACAAGGGCGACCAATTGAGGATGAGATGAGCTGCCATAAAATGCAACTGCAAAACTGCAAAAAATAAAATAAAATAAATTCAGTGAAGAAAGAAAAACAGAATTAAAAATAAAGAGAAGGGGGAAAAAAACACAAGTACTTGAAGAGACAGAAGAAATAAAAAAACCAACTTTTGCAATTGATGAATCACAACCCCTCTGGGTTTCATAGTTTATATTCCTTATTTTTCATAATGAAAAGGTCAAAGTTAGACGTAGGTGGTTCTTTGACGCTCCTAGCCACATAGAGATGAAGGATATAACACCACAATAATTAAAGCCATCACCTAGTTATGCTCCAACAGAATTAGGGTCCTCAAAGAAAAATTTGGAGATAGCTGTGCCCTTCAACATTTGTGTTCAAAGCGGATGCACCAAAAGGTTCAAGTCCAGAGACAGACATGGTTACAAAACCAAGAGTTTAACCATTGCATCAAGGAATGGTCCCTATATTAAGATCAAGGATATGGATAATAAATATGCATCTCTACAATCCCAGGTTCAAGAAGGCATTGCTACAGGTACAAGGGTAAAATGCCATGCGTAAATAATTCAATGAGGAGAAAAGTATAAATAATAAATCCAAATGAAATATTTGCAGGGTCTATTATGAGTAGAGCTTACATCACTAATGAATAATATAGAGCATAGCAATACAAATGAGACACATTATTAAATCAAATGTTATAAAAATTGGGTTCAGGTTGAAGGAATAATACAACAGTTCACAAAATAAACACTGCTCACCGTTTAAGGCGTATCATGGATCTAAGCAGGGCAATGAAAATGCAAGTGCTACCAATTACTTCCTGCAACCAATAACCGGAAAAGGTTAAAAAAAGAAAAGAAAAGAAAAGAAAAAAACAGAGATATTACATACAATGAAAGAGGTATTTTAGGGTATTTGTGAAGCAAGAAGATGGGACTGTTGATTGCCTGTAAACAAAGCAAATCAGAAAGTATCTTGAAAAAGAATCCTACAATGGCCAAATATCTGAAGTGGATATAATATTTTAATAACGACTGCTAGTTACAGCATCCATCACAGCCACAAGAGTGGGAGTATCGAGAGTTCAATAGAGAGAGAAAAGGGTACAATTGAGTGGCTTGAAAGTAATTCTATTCCTTTTATTTCTCAAACTTTATTTCTCATAAAGTAAGTGTAAAGTTCAAAACTAAATAGAAGTTATATCATTTCACTACCCAGACTCTCAATTTACATTTATTAAACCATGGTACAGGGTGTGTAGCCACTCAATGAGGCACGGGCAAATGTAGACAGACTCACAAGGGATCCATCAAAGGACCTAATAATAATAACACAACATAAAGTTCACAAATGTCTTCATGCATAGCTACCCACATGCACATGCATACAATTAAGATTTTGCAGAACATCCCACCATGATTTTTAAAAATTCTTCTTCATGCTCATCATACAAATGACACATTCTCGAAGAAAAAATCTGTAGATGAGTAAATTCAAGCAACTATCAGTTTTATCCACTCACCTATATTTAAATATCCTAAAGCAGATACAATCAACAGAACAAATCATATTCTGTCCTTTAGATGCAATTTTGTAGGTGAAGTGAATCAAAATATCATTCACTGCACAACCATGAACCCAACATATTGCCAAACGCCCAAATTTATTCTCTTTTTGTATGAGATAAGTAGTTGACTCAAGAAAATCCTTAATTTTCCCTTTGCTGCTAGTTTTCTTCGCCATCTGTCAAACACAGTAACAATCAGGAAGCTTCCATTGATTGCCTAATGCATTGATATACAGTTTTATTTCCATGAATGTGCCATCTTCTCCTAATATAGAATCAACAATTTCAATGCAATATCATCATAGGGAATCCAATTAAAATAACGAAAACCATATTTTGTTAGAAGGTATCAAAGGGGAAAAAATCTATAAAGCTGTGGGCATTACATAACTGTTCATAGGTCAAAGAAGCACACTAAGCCATCAAAAACAATAGGTGATGTATAAACCAAAGAAGAACAGGCAGCATGAACTTTAAGAAAATTGTAACCCAAATACTGTTCAGGGAAAAGAATTAAGGAACCTTGTCACTAGGAAAAATAAATGTTGAAGGCCTCAAGTTGTGGCAATCTTTCAAGCAATTTAGTGGCTTGAATCCAAGAAGATGAAGATGTCCAGTTGAAACTCTTTTAATCTCTGATAGCTCCTCGGCAGAAAACATGATATTATCGCTGAACAGTAAATGGATTAATGAGGCAACAAATGCAAGTAGACAGTCAGCATAATTTATCAACAAAACTAAAAAATAAATAAATTATAAAAAGCTAAATACACTATCTGCATCCTGTGTTTTCAATTTGGTCAATTAAACAGGTGTATTTTTAATTTCAGCCATTTGAGTATGATTTTGCAAAATTAATAATTTTTATAGGTTAGGTCGAATAAAAATATAATATATAAGTGTATAAATCTGCATGTGGGTCCCACTTAATATGGTTATATTATTTGTTATTCGAATTGATCTACAAAATTATTGATTTTGCAAAATCGTATTCAATTGCCTGAAATTAGAAAGCACATGTTCAATTGACCCAATTGAAAACACAAGGGCTTATTTGACAGATTTATGAAAACACCAAGGTGCAAATAGTGCATTTAGCCAAAAAAAAAAATCAACAGAAAAGGAAAATTAAAGTTATAGCATACCAAAATCAACCTGCCAACAAGGACAGTGTGAAAAATGTAAGGGTACGACAACTTTTAAGTTGCAACATTAAATCATAAGAAACTAATGGAAACATTAGTTACATACTGTACAATTAAGAAGAATTTTTTTAAAGCAAATGAAAAGGAGAAAGCAAAAAAATATGAGAAATATGTGTGGTAGAAAAACACGTTACAAAATTGAACCCCAGAGCACAAAAGACAAAATGGAAGCCAAAATCAAGGGGATAGCGATTTGGGTGGGGGGTGGTTCGGGCTGGGGTTGAGATGATGATGCATGAAGTAGTCCACTGCGTTCTTGGATCAACTAAAAAAGAAAAATCAAATAACATAATTGATGGAAATGAAACTTGCTTACTTTTTGTAAGTTTGATATCGTTTTGCAGGATCATGCATCAATGCACCAGTATCGGCACAGATAAAAGATCTCTCAGTCTGCACAATGTCGACATACATGACCCGATTAAGATCTAATTCTCACAAGGTGAATCCAAAATCTAAAAAGAAAAAAAAAATTATTGGAATAAATTAAAAGTATCGGAAAAAAATGATTGGAATAAATTAAAAGTCAATAAGGAATAATTTGAGGAAGGAACTTCCCAGTATTTATCTAATTAACTCAAAACTAATATGTATCTAATTAACTCAAAAGTAATCCCTTTTTAAAAGATTTTATGATGTGGAGTGGAAGAAATCAGTAAACTACTTATAAGTTCTAGAATATACTACTTTATTCGACTCTACAAAATCATTGATCAGAACATAACACCTCGTGAGAAAGCTAATGCATTATCTCATTGACCTCCTTAAGCACAAAAAGGTAGAAAAAGTACATGAAATCCCAAAAGCTAGAGGGAAAAAGAATGCTACATGAAGAACATCATACCATGAGAAACAAACATACACCAAAAAATTGCAGCCCAAAATGATCAAGACTATTGATCTCAAATATGCATATAATTCACTGCCATTGCACATATTGCACATATTTATTGCCCAAAATATGTGCAATGTAAATAAATGGATGCATTAAACCAATAAACAAAATGTAACATGACAATCTGTTATTACCTTCAAAGGACAATTGGTAACAGAATCAAGCCATGTAATTGCCCCTAGGAACAAAAGCACAGAAACAAACGATTATAAACCACCTTACATGATGACATCAATGGCATGCAGAAGCCTCAATAACATAACGTAGTAGAGAAGTTGAGAGTATCTGTACCTGGCATAGTTGGACGAATCAAAGCATATGTATTCAGCTCAATTGACAATCCATTTGCAATTGATAATGTGATTCTTCTAACTATTCGCTTTGTAAACATACGTTTTCTAAGCTGATCTTTCATATCTTGCAATCTGAAATTAGAATATAGTGTGAGGGTATTTTATGAAATGAATGATTGATATATATATATATATATATATATATATATATATATATATATATATATATATATATATATATATATATATCATGAACATAAAATGCAAACAAATATAGATATTCAAGCATCACTATGGATCGATGAGTGCATTATATCAGTATATACTGCCCAATGAGAATTATTATCTTAGCAAAAAGAAAGGACAAAAAAAAAATTGTTAAATTTTTTATACTTATTGGCATACACATGAAGAGTGTTTTTAGATCCCAAAAAATAAAAAAAATAAAAAAAAATTGATTTTAGAATCAAAGATAAGAAAATCACATCTAAAAGACTAAGGTGCCCCTGTAAGTTAAGAAAGATCAGTATGCCTCAAAAAGCTCTATTGCCAAACATCTGTTATTCTACAAAAACCAGAAGTCATAATTGCAGAGGTCGGGGATATTTGATTAGACTAGGAGTGTTGCTTTCAGTGCTGAATCTTGGTGATCCTGATCAGAGAGGAGGATATGATGCCACCTTTTCTTTTGGTTCCTCAAAGAAGGATGGCAAAATTTTGTAGCAATGCACATGTTCCATTTTTCTTCGTTTAGTTTGGATAATGTTTCTTGCATCCTTATGTTTGATGTATTAAGCAGGAATGAAGAGTTATTTTACCATAAAAATGTCTTATTCTCCAACTATCACTATTAATTCTTATTGTTCTCTCAGTAAAATTCTTCTCTTATCGAAAACAAAAAAAGAAAGTAAGACAAGAAAAGAAGGGAGGAAGCATAGAAGGGAGTTGGTGAAAAGGTTTTGGAACTCTATATTTTATCTGTTTCTTACAAGAATATGTTGCTAACTGATGGCAAAATTTGCACAAGTTGGATTCTATATGAATCATCAAAGTGTGGTGATACTTGTTAAGTAAGAAAGTAACGAGGGCGTTTGTGAGAGATAGGGTTTTATATATATACAACCCTCTCTCTCACAAATGCCTATATATATACACCGCCCAACGAGAATTATTATCCTAGAAAAAAGAAAGTACAAATAAATAATCGGTTGAATCTTTTAGACTTATTGGCATACAAATGAAGAGTGTTTTTAGATCTCCAAAAAAGAATTAATAACAATAATGTTAAAATCACAAATCAGAAAATCATATCTAAAAACCTAAGGTGTCCCTGTAAGTTAAGACAGATCAGTATGCTCAAAAAGCTCTATTGCCAAACATACATATATATATATATATATATATATATATATATATATATATATATATATATATATATATATATATATATATGTATGTATGTATGTATGTATCATGAACATAAAAAGCTCTGATTTGGGGGTTCTCATGAGAGACTCTCTCATATACATGTTTGTTTAACTAGCAACTCTTAATCACAGTATGTACTGGTGTCTCCAACCCAAAAAAGAGTGCTCATCTACAAGCAGTTAGGTAGGTAACTCTTAAAACAGCATATATATATAATTTCAATGCCAGCAGTTATAAGCATAGGAGCATAACTGTTTGGTGCTCGTTAGCATTTGTGTGTGTGTGTGTGCCTTTTCTCCTTTATGATAATTTTTATTACCTATGGAGCTGGTATTTTCCATAGGTTTCAGAGTGGGAAATCCCAATTTTACAATTGCACTTAAGCAATGTCAAACAACATAATGAGATAATCCTTGCAATTGCACATAAGAGTGCCATAAAGAAAAAAACAATATTGCATACTTTTGTCCAGCTGATGGCATAAACTGAGCAAGTTCATCACCTTCCAACCCAATCAAATCCTGAAACATAGAAAATTCTGTATCAAATGTAAATCAACTTATCACCCAGAGAAATTAAAAAAGAAATCAAATGGTGTGCATATGGAACAATGAAAAATCAAATGGTGCAGGTAAGGGCATACAGAATAGAAAAGTGAGACATTGAACTCCTCATCAGGTCGACTCAGGGGGAGAAGTTCAATTGAGATGCCAAGATCTTGTGCGTCCTGAAAAAGGTAGCAATGGCATTCTTTAACAATGAAATTTGATGCGAAAACTTGCATTCTTACAAAAACAATTGCATCTTGAAAGTGTGCAAGTTATGTTAATGGTAATCTGTACTTTAGCTCGCTGCAATGTGGTCCTGGTCATATCTGTTTTGGCTACACCCTTGATGCTCCCAAAAGGATCATCTTCATTTGTAAATAAAAGTATCCGTTTATCGGCTGTTTTTGCAGATCTGAGATGGTTTCATCCCTTAAATTAGGAAATTATGCATGGAGGATGTTAAAAAAGAACATGAAAACTTCACTTCAGCTTAGAAGACAATAAAAACTATAACATCAAAGACAAAGAAATATCCGTATCACCCTTTACGCAATAACGCTTGTGCTGCCCAGAGAGCATTGTACAGGGAATTCTCCCGAGACCCAGAATCAATACCATACTGACTGCCAATGTCTTTTGTGAATGATTCTGCAGACAAATAAGATGAGATAAAAAAAAAAACATCTGATACTTTTGAAAATCGCTTCAAAAATAAAGGCTTTACATCAAACATGGGTAAGAAACTGCTCATTATTTCCATGTTTGCAAACAAAGATCCTCAAATTATTTGCTCAAAAGTTGGACAGCTAAGATGATTATAAGTCAGGGATAATTATGGCCATTCAAACTTAACCATCAGCTTAGACAAGCTATGAAGAATTAGGAGGTCTCACAACTTTTAAAACAGGAAGATACAGAAACCACATAAGAAGAACAAGATACTCGATAAAATCAATGAGAGATGAAATCCAAAGGCATGACTGCAGGCTACTGACTCATTTAGATATGACAATGACAGTTGCTGCACATTCTTTCAAGAGAAATAGAAAAAGATGACATTATATTCAATAATCATTAGGAAAAAGTCTTCTGACAATTAATGAAAGACTGATGCATTAAACCGTATGCATGTGATACAATTTTAGTACATAAAAATCTAACAAGGTCATATTCAACCAAAATATAAACATTTTTTTATGTCCAAAACAACAATGGTCCAAAAATTTCAACAACGTAAGGTAAGATAAAGTTCAGTAACTTTATTTTCAATGTAAAACAAATCCCTGTCTGCTATAATAAAATGTGCTGTCCAGACTTACCCTCTATGCAATCAAAATCTTTTATAAGTCTTGCTGTTGGCCTGTCTAGATACTCTCTTTCAGCAACATTGAATACAAAAACACCATTTAGATCCTGCAAATTCTTCTTTTCCTTCTGCAATGATTATGAAATTAGATGACTGAATCTGAGAACAACTTGCATCAAAGCTAGCATATGTTCCTAAAAGAAGAAAAGTATACAGCCAAGTACTTCTAAACAATCTGGCAAAATATATACAGCAAAGAATTCCACACCATAAATACTAAACTAACCCCAAGAAAAGGATTAACTACCACTATTTCTCCTTCTGCAAATACTTACTTGTAATATAAATTTTAAGAACAGATGAAATTGCAGGTTAATATGAAGGAAGCAAAACGTATTGGTTCTTTCCAACACACACCCTCCCTTTCATCTTCTACATTCCAGCCTAATCCCATCTTGACAAACCTAATCTTTTTCTTAGTGAATGCTCATAGAAAGGCAAACCTATCAAAACAGCCAAACACCATTCACAGCTGATGAAAACCACGCTAAGAACTCTTTTTAAGTCTTGTACGACCACAAATCAAACCCCTTTCTAATTACACATTTTTCTATCATCTCTAAAGTCTAAAACCCTATGTCAAGCAACTTTGAACACTTAAATTCCTATCCTTACTCGAATCCTATCTATCATTAAGAATACTAAATATCATAGCTGTTACTAACCGAAATAGCCAAAAGATGAAGAAGAACTAGAGACACCAAGAGAAGGAAAGAGTCCTAAAATTTGATCAAGGTCAACCAATTAGACATTATAGAGGAAGCAACTATTCAAAATCCCATGATTTTGCGGTCCATACATGCCAAAACAGAAAATAAAAAAGACTTACAGTGTTAAAGAAGCATATTGCAACTTCATCATACGATCTATTAATTATTTGTGTCTTCAATGACTGCGCGATACAACTAATAGCAATGTGGAAATGAGTTTCCTCCTTTCCTTCCTCCTGCCAATAACAATAAAATCAAGAAAACTAAAAACGAAAAAATTTCCACAGGCACAAAAGAGCATCATTTTTTATGTTTGAAAAATAATTAAATGAACCTTTGCGTTCTACAGCATTAAGAAAAAATTAATCTGGAGTCTAACAAACTAAGACAACACAACTGAAAAAGCAAAGAAAAGGCAATAATTGGAAAAAGAAAATAAAAGAAAGAAGTTATTATGCATGCAATATAATACAAAAGAAACAGAAAATTAAACAAACAAAAAAAAAAAGGAAGAGAAAGAAAATACTGACGGAGGGACAAGTAGATGAGAACATTTTGGGAGAAGCATCGACAAGGTAGACCACGAATTCTTTGGACGATTCTCTTTGCTGCAAATAGAATATAGCAAAATTAGTGTTTGATTTCATGAAAAAAAAAAAAAAAAACAGCGAAGTAAGGACCTGATAGAAATCGCTATCGAGATCATCTTCGTCGTCTTTGAAGATATCATCAGGATCCAACTCCATTATGCTTAATTTATTTATTTATTTATGTTTGGAAAGAAAAAGAGAGATTGAGCGAAACAAGGGTTGGGTTAGCGGCTTTCTCTGTGCACTGACCCGCCTAATTTCTTAGGTATTCGAAATTCGAAGAGGTCAGTGAAGTACTGAATACTCTTTCTTAAAAAAAAAAATTAAGTTCAAGTAAAACTGCGTCTAGAAGTTCTGGTCCTGAACCGATGGGCCGAAGGGAGTTGACCCAAACTGAAGTGGGCCATATCTGTCGTCACCCAAATTAAGTTCTTTATCATCATTTTATATTGTAACTTTCATTATTCTTACCTTCGCTATGATTACAATCGCTATTATTGTTACCGTGTTGAATATCATGATGCCTACTTTTATCATTGTTATAATTAACATACGGTAATTTTATAATCATAATTTTTAATAGTCAGAATCATCACCAGATAAAATTATTTTTAAATTATTATTCTTTTTAGCGTTAAAAGCAATAAAAATTTATTATATGATTTCAATCTATTATTCTAAACAAGATATTGTAATTAGAAAGTCATTCAAATTTCTCCATTTCAATAGCAAGCATATTTATTCTTATATTCAAACGGGCATAAAAAGAAATGTGCTTTGTAGCCGTTATACATATAAAAAACAATAATAAATAAATAAATAACAAGAAGGAGAAGAAGAATATGAAGAAGAAATGTGCCGTATATATAGCCATTAATTATGGATGATAATGAATTGAAATTTTCTCCACCGAATGCATGTTTTAAAGGAACCACCTTACAAAGCGACTAGATATATGAATTTGCAGTACAATGGTATTCTTGCAAAATAAAAGAGGTGAGATCTCGAGTTTGGATCCCACTTTTATCAATCCATCTTGGGAAAATCCAAAACATGATTTTTTTTTTTTTTTTTTTTTGAGACATGAGAGCAAATAACGAAAAGAATCATATAATTTTTTTCTTTTTCATCTATATTCCTGATTTCTAATGAGGAAATCTCTATCAACGTAATAAAAAGAGCAAATTCTTTGTTAAAATATCCATGCACAAAAATTCGCTGAGGCCCCATTCGGTTGATCCGTAGACAAGATACTTATAAATATGACAACAAAGCAATGGGGACTAAAACATATGCTGCAAGTCTTTTTTTCTGTTTCCAAATGGTGGATGGCAAATCCATGGTCCACCAAGTTCAAGACTTCATAATAATTGTTGGGGAGCTAATTAGGTCTGAAAGCATCAAAACGTTGAACGTAATCTACTTGAAACGAATTCCAATAGACCATATGCTACAAGCAAAAGAAGACGTGCGTCCTCGGTACGAAACTAGTATTTATGTAAAATACAACTAATGATTAGGAATACTTTTGTCGTTTTCCATGTAGATAAAGATATTTTAAGTAACTTAGAGCATCTTAGATGGTAATTTTTACTTTTAATTAGTATTTTTAATATAAATAAAGAGTATCATTAATTATACATGTTGAAGATCAATGTCATCTTCAATACTACTTTCTATTTTAACAAAATCCATAAAAATTTAATTCTGAAATTTTCTCTTTTTTTTTCTCGTTAATCTCCCTCCATCCGATTGGTGAAGAGGCTGAGTGACATAGGAAATAGTAATTTTTATTAATAAAATATAAGATAAAGAGTCATTGACTCTCTAAGTATTGAAGAGCTAAAGAGACTTTGTATCTCACTTTTAAAAATAGATATTATGATAAAAAGAGAATTGAAGATGGAATTCAAGTCAAACCTCGTTTATTATAAAGAAAAATCTAAGTATTGGAGATTCTTTTAGCCTATCTGCAGACCGTTAAGACAAAAAAACTTGTTGAAAAACACCAAATAGACAAAAAGTATAAGAAGCTAACTGCAACAAGAGGCGATATAGATACTAAAAAACAAAATAAAGGATTTTTATTAAATAAAAATTTGTTGTATAGGGATACAACGCGACCTCGTGTTTCTCTAATCTCTTCTGTGTACCCATAAGGGAGAAAAAAATAAAAGAAATTAGTCGTCAAGCCCTCAATTCTAGATCCATTACACATTAATACAAGAGAAATTTACAAAGCTTGTTTGAAACATCAAGATTTTGTCAGAAATGAATTCAATTCTTAAAAAATAAGGGGTATAAATTGTTAGGGTTAATCAAAGGTGTTGATTTTGATAGATAAGATTTTTTTGGAGAGATGCTTTCAACAAGGATGGTAACAGGTCGGACAAGATGAGGTTTTTATACACTTGTATCTAATCACATTGGTCGAATTAAGAGATTTTTTTTTGCATTTGTTGGTATCCGACTCGATATAAACTTTTTTTTCAATTCTTTCTTATAAATTTTTTTGTAATATCTTACAAAATCACATCTAAATAAATTATTGTACAGAATCTCACGTGTCTAATAATTTTATTTTTAAGTTATATTTAAAATAGTAATATTATATAATTTAAAAACATAGAATTGTGTTATTAAACATCATTAATAATCTATACTAATAAATAATTTTTGTTATTTATGGAGTAAAATTTAGTTAAAAAGTAAAGATGGAATTATGAGTTTGTTTTATAAGGTTTATATTAATTATGTACATTAATAACAAATAAAAACAATAGTAAAAATACTGGATTGGGTGGTAGGGCCAGCGAAAGTTTCGTCAATCCAAGTGAAATCATATCAAAATAAAACTCAATCAAACAAGATTAAAACCCGAATCGGTTCAGATGGTGTGGAATACCCAATGGGTCTGGTGAAATTATCGTTCATGTTTTCAAGCCTTAAAATTATATAGTTAATATATTTTCATGTACTCGACAATGGTCGGTCTTGAATTTTTAATATAGGCATTTAAACTAAGGGTGACATTTTAGGTTAAATCGGTCAAAACTCTTCTAAAAATTAGTCTATTTGAAAATCAATCCCTAAATTCTTAAATTAAAATTTAACCACTTTTGAATTTTATTATTTTTAATTTAATCAAATTTTAATTTTTTTATAAAAAAAAAAAAACAACTACATAAATAGCTTCATGATAAAAATTATTCAATAAGATTTATTTGAGCCTTTTCAAAAAAAATTTAAGATTATTTTACATTACTTTCTATTTTTTTATTTTTAATATTTAAAAAATAAAAATTATATATCTTTCTTGATTTTGAAAAATTTGAGATTTTTTTAAAAAAAAATGAATTGAATTTTTTTTTTCAAAGCATGGGCAAAATGTTAAATCAACATTCCAAAAAAAAAATGTTTTTTTTTTTTTAAGAGAGAGTGATAGATAAGGACTTATTTAGCCGCTTCTTTTGACTTGTGTGAAAGGTTTTTGATGACTGTTGAGTTTGAACGTATGACTAAAATAGAAACATGAACCATGTGAATACTTGTTTTGTTGTTTTAATTTTGATTTTGAAAATTGTGAGGGTGGCAGAGCTAGTTAGTTAAGAGGTCTGAATTAATTATACAGCAGAATCACAAACAATTATAAAAATATTTTTTATATAAACTTCTTTAATTTTTTTTCAGTTATTTCTCTTTCTTATGTATATCTCACCAATACAATAAGTATGGGTAATATTTCTCAAAAGTTCTATTCAAGGTTGAGATATTGATAAGGGCAAAATAAGAAAAGACTCTTGTTTCTAATTATCCATTGTAATTGAATTATACCATATTTAAATTCATTCCAAACATAATAATTCAATTACTAAATCAATTCATTCGGATTTACCAATATAATAGAAATCATTTTCATGGAATAATTGGTTACAAACGGCATGTAATATAATGTAATAGAAATTAGTATGAGAAACTAAAATTCAATATACACATATTTTGTTTGATCCCAAATTGACGGTTCGTATGAGCTTATCCATGCAATTATACACTCTTCAAATAGGAATTCATTTTTTGAAAGAACCTAGCTTTTGTGCTTTGGTGGGTCTCCGAGATCCTTTCAATAACTTATGTTGTGTTGAAAAGATATAAGGATTGTGATAGCAATGATACTTAGTCAGATGATTATAAAAGGAAGAAGATGGTTTTATAGAAAAGAAAGAATGAAAAAGCATGATAAATAAAATAATAAAATAAGGAAATTTTCAATTGGGTAGAATCCTTTTGTCCACGAAGGGTGAGTCGTGGCCTAAGATCGAGGCCAAAAGGCGTAGTCGATGGACAATAGGTAAATGTTCTTGTACTACCCTTTGCTAGTCTCGATACTCTTTTTTAGCTTTTAGAATTTATTTTTAGTTCAAAATCCCTCTTACTAACTAGAATCAAAGAATTAGTAGATCTGTTCTACTCAAAATGGGAATGGGCTAGGGTTATGAACTTATAATCTATAATCGAATCAATTCTATAATTATAAGTTCATTTTATACCGAATCGAACGGAATCATTTCTGCTTCTATTGTAACAAAAGATTTCCTTTTTACGTGAAAAAGACCTATATTAAGAATTATGATTTTACGTATGGACAACTCCTCGATATCCTATTCATTCATAATAAAATATTTTCTTTATGAGGCGATCTCGTAGTTCCTATCGGGTGGAGATGATGCGGTAGGTCCATGGATTTTTCTTCTTCTTTTTTTTTTCTGCATTTCACTCAAGGGTTGAAGGGTGATGAGAAAGAAACAAAAGGTTGCTTAAGTTCTTGGCTCCTGCAGGAACTAAATTAAATTACTTGGAGTGAGGCCGATAACCTTATCACTTGCCAGCTAAAATCAAAAGCAATACCCGGAAAGCTTTTGCATGTACATCATTAACTTTTTGGGTAGAAAAACTAGCGAAGAACTTCTTCTCTAGCTTCAGTTTAGCAATTGTGATCTCGAACTTTGTGAATAGAAATTAAATAGCCCTGCAAATTTAGTAGCAACAAAGTACTCCAAAAGCCTTCACATATAATAGACCATACTTTTATTCTACGAACAGCAGAGTCAAGCATTACAGCAGTCAAATACAGGGAGCATACATAGACATATAGTTGGAAACCTTATTTTGCCCTCTCAGTACATATGACAACTCCGGCATAACCATCACTTTTGGTACTAAAACCCAATCCAAGCCCAGACACATCTCTTGTCTTTCTCAAGCAACTCAAACAGACACTACGTACTGTACCACTATGTTGTGTTTTTTTTTTTTTTTAAGCGCAGCAGGAGCTACTAATTATAAAGGTCCTCGCTTACACACCCAGGCTAGCTAATATTGCTTCTTAGTTCTTAGCAGGCAGTTCATGATAGCAGCCAGAACATAAACACACATGATGGAGTATTACTACTAGCTAATAGTAATATCTATCTCTTTCAGTACTGATTTCAGTACTGATTGCATAGCACCCAACCCTTTTGAACCATTAACCAGAGGCTTCAGCACTGTTGATCGTAGCGCCATTATCTGCGTTTTCCTTGCTTTTCTTCTTATTTTCTTTCTCACCCTTGAAGCCGCCAAGAGTGAGCTTCTCCTCAATATTAGCAGCATCCATGGATTTGCGTGCTTGATTGATTTGGCCACCGCCACCGTGACTGACTCCAGGTCCGCGTTTAGCACTTCTGATCATACACAAGGAAAAATGGATTATAGAATATACGTAGTCAGTGAAACTTCATATCTAAATGAAGTGATCATCACTAAAGATAAGCACTAAGTAAAGAACTTAATTCTAATTAAAATTTTTGGTTATCATTCATTTGCTTTCATAAACAAACCTCTATCTTGACCAGTTAATTAATTGAACTCTTTCAAAATGACCTCTATAATCTAAAAACCATGTTGGTATGTTAACACATGAATTGATTTATGATCTATCAGCTGGAGTGATTAAGAAACCAATATAGCCCCAGGAACAGAAAAAGAAGAAAATAATTTTAGCCCAACAATTAAACCCCTAAACCCTACCAAAAAAAAAAAAAAACAAAACAAAACAAAAGACAAAAACAAAAACAACGAGGAGGAGGAGGGAAAAAGAAGAAAAAATGCCTCATGCATGTTCACCACTTATTTGACTGGACTGGAACGAAATTTATAAATTGATAAACCAAATGACAAGAAAATTTCCAAATAACCACATGCTGCATAGGAAGCTTGACATACATGCTCAAAGTTTTACGCTGGTAGAAAGGCCTGGCATTAGGCATGCGGACTAAGGTCGACTTCGGCAGAAAGCCACCCACAAGAAGCATGCTGGCCATGATGGAGAAATTTTTATTTCTGAAATGCTCTAGAGCTGCTCCAAGTCTATTTACTACTCGAGCGTTGAGTTCCTAATGAGACTCGAGGCTGGATTTTATAATGGATCGTGGATGACTTTATTGCTGTCCTCTTTACTGTTCACCGATAGGAAATTCTTGGAGTTTTCTGTAATGTCTTTGGAATTTCCAAAAACAAGGCCAACACCTTTTTCGGAAGCATTTTTTTTATTTATTTCCAAAACGATTTCTATTTAGTCTGGAACGTATAAATTATTTTTCTATATCCAACATATAGACTGAACAATCCTGAATCATGAAAGCATTTCACAGTGTTTGGCATTAAAACATTCAAAATTATTTGAAGAAAGTAATTTGAATATACTAAGTGTTCTTACAGTTAATAAACAAGAAATCTTAAATTAAAAAATCTCAAATGCCTTGAAACATTACGTTATTCACAAATTTAAGAAGTGATGAGTGGTGGATCAACTCTTCCAACAAAATTAAAATATATGGCACACGTAGACAAGTGATGTAGGTCCGGTGATCGTAGATTTGATGAAAGTTTATTTACGTTGTGTAACCGTAAAACAAGTCCTTCTAATTAATTGAAGACCCTCCGACGCTCAAGTTAGTAGTCGGAAGGCGACAAATTAGTTTGAACAATTTCTATCTTATGTTAGTATGTAATAGTTTGGGTATAATTTCGCGTAAAAGAGGGATTTGTATGAGATGTAGAACTTGTGTTGAGAGTATTTTTCTAAACTAATTTGGAACCTTGGAATTTTAGAGAATTGGAATTTGATGAGTCGTGGATCGACTCGTCCAGTGAAATTAAGATACATAGCAAACACAAACGATGATGAAAGTATGGTGACCGTGGCATGTGACGGAATTATTATTATTTTTATTTTATTTTTTATTTTTTGCATTGTGTACTATAAAAAAATTCTTATTTATTAAGAGTGTTTTTCCGAACCAATTTGGAAACTTAGAGTTTTGAAGAATTAGAATTAAACTAGAATCAAGATCCCGTATAAACTATTGGTTTGTAATGGTTTTGGACTTTATATAAGCCATTGCAGGTGCAACTTACATGGCAAAAAAGATAAAAGTATCATTTTCCTTTAGAGTTAGGGAATAAACTAACAAGTATTAGTGGTCTACTATCATTGCATGTGATCTATGATGACATTAGTATAATTTATGATGAGTGATGATTTAATTGATGTCATTAGGGAGATTTTCATTAAATGCTTTGTCTTTAGGTGATAGTAGAGGAGTGTAGTGTCTTCTTTTCCCAAACCAAGATGCCTTAGGGCATGAGGATTACTAAGTTCTTCTTGAAGAGCCATCCATCTTATATATATTTGCCCTATTTTGGGTACTTTGGGCTCCTATGATGGGTCAGCACTCTTCGATGAATTATAAGCCCGATGGATTTTTGAGTTGTGGGCTCATAGGCTCTTTCTATTAGGTTGTACTAGTTTATGTCTTTCTATCATTAGTTATTTCTAAGTTTTGACTAGCCTTTTTAGCCTTGATTTAAAAACCATTGGTCGGAGCATTTTAAGAAGTGCATTTATTTTTTGTGAGAGATTATCTATGTTCTCATAATTGACATAAATTGGTCTTGGTTGGTCATCAATCTCTTTCTTTTGAACTTTGGCACTTTGAATTCAATGGTTTTGAGTGAGAGAATGCCAATCATCCATACGTCGGGCACCTTTATTACGTCAAATGGGTATATCTTCTATGTTTCTCATAAAAGTAATGATTATTCCTATTAAGAATCTACGTACGTAATTTATCAACTTTTATGGTGTTGTCATATCGGTGTAAGGCTATTTCTTGGGTCCGGCATATCATGATTAGCAGATGAGGCCCTTCTTTACCTAAAAATAAGCCTTATTGTTGCGAGTCATTCTTTGCTTTTGTAGGCTATAAACTTCATTGTAGAAAATTGATGGTGAATCGTTTGACATTTCCTTAAGTTTTTTAAAGAAAATTTTCTTATTTTTTTCTTTCTTTATTCTTATACCCTTTTGTTTGTTTCAAGAGGATTCTTGGGTCTAAGCATATCGTGATTAGCGAATGAGGCCCTTCTTTACCTATGTATAGGCCCTATTGTTGCAATCATTCTTTGCTTTTGTAGGCATTAGACTTTGTTGTAAAAAAATTATTATGAGTCATTTGATATTTCCTTATTCTTGTACTTCTTTTTTTGGTTTCAAGAGGATTTCTCCTCGATAGGGTGCTTTTTTGTTTTAGATTTACACCTATGATATAATCTTTTTCTTTCTCTTTTCCTTTATCTTTTCACTAGATAGAAAAATGAGCAACCTAGATAGAGTTAGGGGCTCGTCCGAGGTCGTGTCTAGTAGAGCTATAAAAATAGGTGCCAATTTTAGTATAGATGCATCTTTTCTTCCTTGAGATGAGTTCTAAGTTTTGTGTCTAGTGAGAGACTAACTACCTATGTTTGTTTATTAAGAGAGAATTTTCTTTTGATTCTATTCAACTTTACATATATGATGACACACTCACTTTTGGCATGGTCGAGAGGAATTTGGACTTTGTCATCCTCACTTACATACCTGGAGTATAGTTTTACTTTTTTTTTAATTGGTTTTTTGAAAGGTGTTTGATCATTTTTACTTAAGTGTGAGTCATATTCACCTAAATGAGTAGATTATTTTGGTTTCCTTTAATCATTTATGTCAAAGTCATGTCACCCTATTTATTAAACTTTTTAGAGACTCATATAGTTTGTCTTCTAGAGATGGTGAGATTGGGTCGAGGGCTTGATGTGTACTTTTATGACCTCATACTTTTAAGATTGTTGAAATGAGTGTTTGTAAAGGTGCCTAACCTAGCAGGTGATTAAAGGTAAGAGTGATTTATTGCTTGATATAGGAGAGAAAAAGGTAGGGGTGATTTATTGCTTGATATAGTATAGCTCTCCCCAAGGTTGAGGTCGAAGCATTTAGAGGTGAATTTTTATATAGAGGTCTCCTTAGGGTAATCCTAATACTTTCTCTATTTAGTTGAGTGATGAATTGGCCTTTTGGAATATGGTAAAGATTAATGAAAATATGTATAGCTTATTGGGTAGACAATAAATTTTAATTTAACTTTACTTGTATTCTACGCCATCACTTATTATCTCTAACATTCTTTGTATTTGCAATGGACTACTACCCGAGGGAGATAATAATCCTAATTAGTTTATCATGGAACTTTCTATGCCTCGCATGAAGGAGAATGTTATTACGAATTGGGCTCTATCTTTATTATCAATTCCATCTTTTAGGATGAGGCATGTTGTTAAAGAGAAGTTATCCCTTGGCGATGAGAGTGAGCAATTGGCCGAGAGGCATACATTGGCCTCTAGTGCTACAAAAATAGGAGCTCTTTTGTAAGACTCGTTAAAGAAAAAGATTGATTATGTGTTACTCGGAGGGGCAAAATAGTCATCCTCTTACCACTAAGTAGAACATACTTTGGATGGTAATCTTAGAGGATAAGGCCTCTCTTAGATAATGAAGGGCCTAGAAGAGGGGTGTTAACTACCTTTTCTTTTATTCCTCATTTAGTAGATAAACCGATAGGGTTCCTACAACTACGGTGACCTTTGTTCATGCTCAACACTTAAGGAAAAAGGTCATTTGAGCTTTCAAACCTAAGCTAGATTAATCATCATAGGGTGTTCCTCTACCATCTCTCTTTATAGAACGACTTCATCTACGATATAAGTTATTTAGTGATGATGTTTCCCTAAGATGAGAGGAAAGAAGGAGACCCTCTCATGTTCTAAAAGAAATCTTTTTTTTTTTTTTTTACCGATATAGGGTTTTAGGTTGGTGGCTCTTTACCTAGAAAGATACGAAGGCCATGCAACTTAGCCTCTCTATAAGTATATGTGTCTTTGTTTTACTTGTACTTTTATAGTTTCCTCATTTTAATGTAATACTTACTTGTTTTTTTTCTTTTGATAATCTCTTCAAGTTCTAACCCACCTTCTTCATAGGTGGAGGATTGAGGAAAAAAAGACCGTAATAGTAAATCTCCTCTAGAAGCTTCTTACTTCCTTTTAGAGAAGGATATGAAGGTCCAATTTCTCTAAAAAGAGATAAATGAGAGATTAAAAGATATGGGAAAGGCTTTAGTCCAAAGCCTTATTAAATAAGGAGTGACCGTGGCCCGAGAGTCCGAGGTGGCTTGGAGGTTTATGGCTATGATTGTAGCAAAAGAGATGATGGTTCAACTCGGATTTTACTAGTAGCCATCCTACAACACTTAAAAGGAATTCAACCCCTTATTCTTCTTCGTAGATGATCGTTTTATGACATAAGGATTTTTTTTTTAAAGGCAATGTTCTAGTTATATAAGGTTTTTTCTTTCATCATAAGTTAGGAATCGATTAATTTTTTAGTTATTGCCACATTGTAATATTGTGGCCTTTTTGGTTAGCCTATCTTTGTTCTCTTTCTCAAAATGATGACCGAGAATGAAGGAATATTTATGGAGGGTATAATGTAGTATTTTTTATATATATAATCATGTGATAATTAGATTTATAAGCCTTTTTACGAAGCATTGTGTTTACTTGATAAACTTAATAAAAATTTAGAGACTTTTGTTCCTTAGTGTTTCTTTTTTGATGTTATTTTGTATGCACACAAGTTGACATCACTATCTCTTATCTCTAATGGGTCCAAAACCCGTGTAGAGCTTGGTAGTTGGTTGATTATTTTTAAAGGGTCCAAATTCCATACGGGACTTGGCATTTGTTTGTTTCTTTTTTCTTTTATATGAAAAAAAGGACAAGTGTACGCTATAATAAAATGTAATGTATGACCTTTTAGGAGAAATTATTTACTTACCTGCTTCTGTATGAGGCATATTTTTTGGATTTTGTATAGGATTTAGTCATCCATCTCTAGAAGAATATGGTCATGTACTATTTTTATAGGATTTGATATTCCGTCCTTCTAAGA